AGGGGTAAAGGGCACCACCTATCCTACCCCTTCCCGCCCCCAACCCTAAGGGTTTTTATGAGGAGCTTTACCACACAAAGACCCCCACGCCTACACCTACCTCCCAGCACGTGAGAAGCCCGAACCAGAATGCTTCAATACTTAGATCGAACAATTTCACAGGAACAGTCAGAAGCTCTCGGTAAGCCCATAACATTGGAAGAACTGCAATTCGCAGTCCAGAGCATGAATAGCAACAAGACACCAAGGATTGACGGGCTGACGAAAGAATTCTGGGTAAAATTTTGGCCACTCCTAGGGAAGCACTTGCTGAACTTCTACCACGACAGTTGGCAGAAAGGAGGACTGGGGAATCTGTTGAGCAGCAGTGTGGTTACCCTGCTCTACAAGAAGGGCGAAAATGAAGATATAAGGAACTAAAGACCTATCTCTTTATTGACTCTCCCGTATAAAATATTGGCCAAAGCCCTGGCCTTTAGGATCCTCGGTCTGACTGACAAGTGTTTTCACATAGACCAAACGGGCTTCATTCCGGGAAAATACATCCTAGATAATGTCCTCACCCTCAATGAAGAAGCCAATAAAGTCAGAGAAAAGAGGATCAACACGACAGTACTCTTCTTCGACTTTGAGAAAGCCTACAACCAGGTCAATTGGGCCTTTTTCAATGCAAGTATGGAAAAGATGGGAGTAGGGCCGCATTTCAGAAAATGGGTACGAATCCTGTACAACGATGCTATTGGCTGTGTGCAAGTTAACGGCCTGCTCTCAGATTGCTACCCAATTTCACGATCAGTTCGCCAAGGGGATCCACTAGCACCTCCAATTTCCCGGTTCCTCATGGAAGCAATAGCGTCCTTCCTGCGCAAAGATCCGTCCATACACAGACTAGAGGAGATTAACGCAGGTTCAACCCACCATATACATTTCCCAACAGTCATAATGTTAGCTGACGATCTCACTATCCTCATACGGGCCTCATGATCATCCCTCAGTGCCCTAGTAAGAGCTATGCACCCCGTCACCCGTCACCCAGCCAGCCTGGGAAACCAAGGAACCTGCAAATGCTGAGAATACCCAAAGGAAGGACAACGGCGACAACATCCTTACAGCTTCAGGACATCCTCATCTGTACGAAAGTGGCTTCTCTGCCGGTACAGGGGCCGGGAAGAGAAACACAGAACAACTGGAGAGCGAGAGTGGTCACAACAGCGAACAACTAACGACAACAAACGACTTCTACTGCTGCGAAAAGTCCAATATATAAGTATGAGAAGTCAAAATGGTCACAGATTTCAAATGATAGTGAAAGCTCCTTACCCATCGGGCGGGCAGACACTGTCTCTGTAGACAATCAGTACGGTGGGAGATATATGGATCAGTGCAACAGTGCAATTCGGTTCCTCTTGTAAGGGGGCTGCGGACACCTGGGAGTGGCTGCGGAAGATCAGCGAAATAACCTCTAGGTAGGGGCTGGGGAAGAAATTAAGTAGGAACCCCGCAATGGGATAGGGTCTCTTTTTTTTTTGCAGCTCCAAGGGTTACTGGGTGCTCCAGAATAGATTACAGCAATGACTTTAACCTCACTTTTTGTCCGGTTCGGCTGTATTAAAGGGACGCTGGACCCGGTTTTCAGCAGGTGCCACTCCCCACCAATAGATGGAGCAACCCGACAGCAAAGCCTCAATTCTGGTGGTTCTCTTACCACTGCCGGGATAGAGGCCTTGCAAAAAAGGGTTAAAAAAAAAAAGAGCTATGGAAGCATTCAGACTAGCATCAGAAATGAAGATCAACTGGAAGAAAACGATCGGATGGTGGTTATCTGAAGAAGAGGCCCCTCTTCTCCAAGTCCCAGAGGCAGCCATGACATGGGATACACCCGATACGCCTACCCGGTACCTAGGCATCCTCTTGACGAGAGAAGGTTGCGCTCCTCAAATGGCCCATAACACGCTTGCGAAACAGATCAACAAGATGGGCAGGTGGGGCAATACATTCACCTCCCTGCTGGGTCGCACTTGCTGGGTCGCACTTTGGCCATAACCACTTCCGTCTTCTCAATGATGTGGTATATAACATCTATATGGACAATCCCTGATCACTCAATAGAGGACCTTAACCGCAAAGCTAGAGCTTACCTGTGGTCAGGAGACCCCAACAAGGAAAATTATATACCAAAAATAGCATGGCACTACATTACAAGGAAACCCGCTGAAGGCAGTCTTGGGATTAAGATCCCAAACAAGAAACAAAAGCTCTACAAATATAAGTGGATGGTCAAACTCCTCACCAAACCGGGAACAGCATGGAACAATATGGCGCTAGACAGTATAAGAGGGCTGGCTCCGGTAACGACACCAGCAAACATGTTGGGCCTATTTTGGGTAATGAATAAAGAATGGATCCCGAAAACAGGCCGCAGAAACCAACAAAGAAGGGGAACCCCCACCGGAACCAACCCCCCAACACCCCACTGGACTGCACTTCTAAGGATCTGGTGGGAAGTCACGCGGAAGAAAGTTGGGAAACCAAAGATCAGAGAAGAAGTACTGAGGCAACCTCTATTTGGCAATCCGCGGGTGAGAGACGAAAGTGATCACCCGCTTTTGCTTAAACCCAATGGCACACGTTGGTTATCATGGATAAAACACGGGATCTGGAAAGTCTCTCACATATGGGACGAAGACAAAAAGGGGTGGCTCACTGATCAGGAACTCGCCACCCGTCTCAAGGGGTGCCACCGGCGTGACGAGAACCTGCAAACAATCATCAGATGCATCCCGGAGGGATGGAAAGAAATATTAACAGAGGCACCGACTTGGAAAACGGGGGAATGGGGGGTCAAGATACAAGAACCGTCCCCTTTGAAGGCCTATCAATTCTCCCACAAGCAGCAGGGCTCGCAAACCTTGGCTGTCTTCACAACCTTTCCAGTCACTGGGACAGTGCACAACTCCGTGTCCATTCTGAACAAGGATGTAGAAAGAGTGGTTCTTGATCTGTTCTTTTTCAGGAAAGTAAGAGTCATCAGTTCATGGCCCAAAACAATTTTCAGGATAGACACAGCAATCCAGGACCTGGAATTCGACCCGGCGGAATGGGCCTGGACACCAGGAAGGAACAAAATTGTCGAGACGGATACCCACATACAGGACTACTCAGTCAAACTGGGCTATAGGCTATTCCTCAGAACCAAGGATCCGGACCCCATAATCAAGAACAGATGGTCCAAACTAATGGGTCAGGACGCAAGCCAGATCCCACAAATCCCATGGAAAAAAACTAATTCAATCAGACCAGTAAAAATTAGGAGCCTCCAATGGCTAATTGCATACGTGGCCGTACCGGTTAATCAATGGCTGCACATCCGGAGACATAAGAACAATCCCAACAGCTCAGATGTATGTTCAGTATGCACGGATAATGAACCAGAAGACATGCTCCACTGTCTAATACGTTGCAGAGAAGCAACAAAATACTGGGCAAGGGCATCAGCCCTCTGGGACTCTCTATTCTCGTCTTCCCTCCCCGAACATCCCCTCCAACTTCTCGTTTGGACTAACATCCCTACCCAGTTGAACAAGACACAGAGGATCTGGTTCGGAATGATCAGGAAGGTGACAATATAGACCAACCGGAAGGAAAGATGTAGCAGGACCATTGAGGGTGCATCAAACTCGAGGGAAAAAGTCTGGGTGGAAACTAAGGATTTGATTCAGGCAGAGATTTTATGCAAGTGGCACAAGGCAAGACTTTCCCTACCAGACGAGGACGAGCAACAGCGCGCAGCACAGTTAAAGTTCACCAAGACCTGGCTGATTGAAGGAAAAGTTGCAGAGATAAAGAACTCTACCTACGATGGAAGGACTGGCACAACTCGTGAGGTGCTAGGAGAGGACCAAGATACCTCACAACCAATGGAGTAGTCCCGACGCAGACAACAGTGTCCTATGCTGATCAGCAAGGGTATCAGGCGTGTATTGGGAGAGGAAAGAGCTTTAGATCTGTGACTGGAGGCAGATCCTACCACTTTCTCTTGCATTGAATAGGTCTATTTGACAGGCCCACGAAGGTAACCTGAGAGGAGCAAGTTGTTAGGGCAAGCTGACAGTCAATCCTCCCCCAAGGGAGCCATCAATGCTGGTCAGGGGTCCTTCAGCCAGATGGAAGGAAGCGTGAGTGTGTTTTTTTCTCATATTGTATTCAATCTTGACCTGCCGCGGGAAAAATAAATAAATAAATATTAAATAAATAAATAAATAAATAAAATAAAAATGGCATAATGACAGTACAGCTCTATTTGGGAGACGACGACAGTGGCTGAATGGTGAACACCAAACTTTTTTTTACTTTTTGTTTGGAAAAGAGGTCCTTATGTCCGTGGCTCCATATCCATTCTGGTTAACACCTATAACTGATCAACACATTAAACCACCAGTACTTCCAAGGCACTTTTTTCCAATGCTGGAAACTCGCTGCGGACAAAAGAAATGAACCAACACAACTTTCTTTTGGCTGGCGCCACCAGCCACCCGTGCCCCGAAAAATGCGGCGCATTAACGGACCAGTGCGGAAACGAATGGCTTGGCAAAGTGCTGGTGATTTTACGAGTTCAGATCCTGTGTTCATGAAACTCGCGGAGGAAAGGCTTAGTTCCTCCTCTTGGAGAACTGAAGCTATTCATCACCTCCTGAAGTGGTGGCTGGAGGGCCAGTGAAACACATTGAGGATGTCCGCTGAGTTTTCATGCGGGCAGGCTTGAATGTATTCGATATGGTGATGTGTTATTTTGGTTATTGATTTTTGTTCTTGGTGTGATCATCATCATCATCTTCTCTTGTACTTCTCCCTGGCCTTGGCTAGTGTGCCGTGGCCACCTCAAATCGTGTGTGATTATGTGATACAGTTTGACTGGGTGTTCAGAGCTAACTGACTAAATTCCAATAAACATGCTGGTGGCTGGGTGCTGGCTGGGGCCGCTGGGCGTTGGAATTGTCCAGGCACACTGATTTGGTCTAACGAGGTGGACGACATGACCTTGGAAGCCAGAATCATCTTTGTTAATGGTGGGAACCTGACAATCGGAACGCCAGAAATGCCTTTCCCAAAGAAAACGACGGTGATCCTGAATGGTCCTCGAAGTGTGGACCCGCTCGCAACATCAAATGATTTCAGCTTTGGATCAAATGTAAGTCACATATATTTCTGCTAAGTAACCAGCAGACCTTTACCATATCAGCTTGGGGCTTTATTTCAAATTGTCTGAAGTGTCTGTAAACTTTGGTGGTTCTGCCATGATGATTTGTTTTTTGCTTCCGCTCGGCTCACAAAGATATGACAAAGGCAGGCCAGTGCAATGACTGAAGCATATGTTACTACTTCAGTATTTTGCTCATCAGGGAGGTTGTAGTCACTCAATCTCCGTCCCCATGAGACAGACTGGTTCTCTTGCAACGCGAACTCTTGCAGTGTGAAAATGCAAGAAGAAAGGATGCCAGCATGCCTTTCTGGAAGTTGTTACATTCTGACAAGAACTCGCACGCAAAATTCATAACTGCATGGTCTCCAAATATGAACATCACTTTTTTTTTTTCTTCTTTTTTTTTCTTCTTTTTTTTAAAAAAAAGGTCCTTATGGTCCTGGCTCCATGTCCATTCTGGGGAGCGTCAGTCCGGTTCCTATTCCCCCGGCAAGTCACAATTGAATACATCATAGTCAAATATGCACATCACTTCTTCTTTTTGTTTTGTTTAAGAAAACAGGGCCATATGATCCTGGCTCCGTGGCCATTCTAGGGAGCGTCAGTCTGAGTCCTTTTCCCCCGGCAAGTCATGAAAACTACAACAGATCACGCACACACACTTTCTTCTGTCTGGCCGAAGGACCCCTGAACAGCATTGATTACTCCATTCACATGGAGGATTGTCAGCTTGCCGTTCTCCTAGAAATCCTCTCAGCTATGGTGCACCACCGCTGTCGGCTCAACTTGCAAATCAAGACTTCTAAAGAGAAGGGGCAAACAGTTCTGGTGTGGTCGTCACTGTTGTTAAGTCCCGTTGCATAGTATTCCTGTCTTCTTGATACGTCAGCAGCAGCCCCCCCTTTGCATGTCATTCATGGTAACTCCTCTACGCCCAGATAGGGATTGGATCTCCTGTGCCTGGGGGGTCGGCTGACCTGCCGATGTCTCAGAGTTATGCCACCTTCCACCTTAGGTTGAGCCCATTTAGCTATGCAAGTTTGCCTTCTGCCAACCATACCTGCTTGACTCTCGCGAGCACCATCTGTTCTGTTTGGACAATTCTGCATCCAAAGTTTCATCTTCTTCCGATGGCAAAGGATCTCTGATTCAATCATCCCTTTGGTAGCAGCCCAAGCCTTCTCCCTTAAGTTTTTGGTACCTTCCAGCATTCTGCTGCATCTTTCTTTCCATATGGCCCAGAGTGTGACCTTGCAGATCATTCCAAACCAGATCTTCAGATTTGCTAAGGTTAGCGGGTAAACTAATCCAGAGGAGCAGTTGGATAGTGTTACATGCTGAGCCTGCACATGGGCCCCATTTTGGAGGTCCCACGGTTGCTGGGGGGCCCCAGGCCGCACGCCCTTCGGACATGCGCCCTGGAGGCCCACGGCCGGCCTTAGGGCCACAGGATTCAATTTGAGGCAGCATTCATTATTTATTTGCTGTCCTATTTTTGTCTGTTCCAGACGTCGTTTCGGACTTGCAGTGCGCCCGACAGACACACGGTCTGTTTCGGACCAAGGCCACATTTTGGGCCTTCTCCATTCGTGGCCAGGCCCTTTCGGGCCAGGTTCGTTTTCGTCCGGTAGCGTACGCTCCCTGCTGCATCAGCAGGGAGGGCCTGGACGTCCGGTAGGGACCCAGGCAGGGCGTTTCAGGCCAAGGACCAGAGGCACACCAGCAAGGCCCAGCGCTACATATAGCTGGGCCAGGTCAGGGCATACACACAATTCGAGTAGCTCACTTCTTGGGCGACACGCGGCTGGAGCAGCGCGACACAGTGCTGCAGGGGTGTAGAGGCGTAGGTAGGAGGTGAGGCGGAGGCCATACCTGCTGAGGCGGTACTTACCTGGGCGCCGTAGCTGGACTCCACGCCAGCAACCTGCACAGAGAGAGACACCGGCGGCAGTTACCTGCAGGTGAGACAGCGAGGAGGACGACACCTCCTTCTTCTTCTTAGTCTTGCCCTCCATCTCTTCTTCCTCCTTCCTCCTTCCTCCTTCCTCCTTCCTCCTTTCTTCTTCTTCCTCTTCTTCTTCTCTTTCACACACACACACACACACACACACACACACAGAGAGAGAGAGAGCTAGAGAGAGAGAGAGAGAGAGAGAGAGAGAGAGAGAGAGAGAGAGAGAGAGAGAGAGAGAGGTTACAGGCAGAGGTTACATCAGCCCATGAGGCCCAGGATCTGATTTGACATTTTGTGACAGACATTGATTGGACATTCGGCAGGGAGACTATTTTTGGACTTCGCTATCGCGATCTTGGTCTTCTCCCTCACCTCCATCTTCGTCTCGCCTCCCCCCCCATCTCCTCATCCGTGGTATCTCCCCATGTGCATGCTGAAGGAGGGACCTTTCTTCCATGCTTGCGGTCCCTCCCCTCTCTCTCACATGTGTGGTGTATGATGGGGTGTCGCGTCAGTATCTGATAGGTCAGGTCATATCTTTGAGTCTTCCGTTGCGCTACATTATGCTATTTTCGTATGTATCTGGATGCACATTGCTTGTTGATGCTTTTCTGGCGCTGCATTGTCGATTCGAGTCCTTTTCATCACTTTGCGGATCCTTGGCTCCATATGCATCGCTCGATCGAGCATGAATCAGATAGGGTGTTATGGGATGGGAGATGAGAAAAAAGGCTATCCCATTGTCGTGTTGCGCTTGCCCAATATTTTGTGGCTTCTTTGCAATTGATTAGGCAATGTATCATGTCTTCCCATCCCTGGTCCGAGCATACGATGCAGTTATCGGAACTATTTGGATGATTTTTCTGTCTTCTAACATGCAGCAACTGATTTACCGGTAGGGTGGCATATGTTATGAGCCATTGCATGCTTCTTATTTTAACTCGTCTTATTGTTTTTGCGAGGCCAATGCCTCTACGAGCCCCATAAGCCCCCATTTTTGCAGCCCGTCGGCCGCCCTAAGTGAAGGCAGGCTCGACGAGGCCCTCAGGGCCCCTCCTGGCCACCACGCAACTCGGGGAAATTCAGGCAGTTGCGTAGCGCCAGTTGGTTGAGTGAACCCAGGCCCTGGGCCGCCTGTGTGAATGTATGTGAAGCAGGCCCTGGGCTGGATACGGGTACCGGGCCAAACACAGGCCAAAGGCAGTTGGGCACATGCAACCACTTCAGGCCCAAGGCCTGTTCTCGTCGTGCTGGGCCTCAGGCTACCGGGGCCTACTGGAAGCTTCCTGGGACTGGACGCAGGCAGGCCACTTCGATATATCAAAGGGCCTGCCTCCTCATTCGGCATTCGGGTGCTGGCTGCATGCTGCGCAAGCGCTGCTGCGCTATTGTGCTGGCTGGCGCCTACGCTCTCACGGACGAGCAGGGAAAGAGCACGCAGCCATAGCCGAGCTGCGCTGCTGTAAGCTGGTTGAAGCGCAGGGTGGTCCGTGGGTGCTAGTGGCATCTGTGTGTTGGGGAACGAGGTTGTGAGTGTGGCGAGAGTCATACCTGGTGCTGGAAGCGTGCAACATTGGTCGCCATATGCTCGTACTTCAGGAATGCTGTTGAAGTCATCTTTCGGCATCGTAGTGTAGGCTAGATAGGAACTGCCACATGTAGTCTGGGCGCCGAGCGCCAGATAGGATATCAACTCTGGTTCTTCGTTGATGATGATGGGACTATTTCAGCATTGTCAATTATGAACTCTTGGTGTGTTCTTATTTGATGAATCTCGTGATGCAATTCTGCTGTTGGTTCGAGGTCACGACTATCTGGACTCATATGTATGATGCTGTTTGATTGCTGAAATTCGCTATTGCTCATCTTCCTTGCAATTTGGTATCGGAGCTGTGGTTCGATTGCGCTCATCCGGCGCTTGTCTTCTGCCTTATTCGGTACATACGTGCGGTCTGCTGGGCGAGTTTGGCCGTAAGTGGTGTGTAGTGAGGAGGCTGGAGACGAGTGGTAGGCGACGGAGGAGGTGAGGGGTATCGCCTGGAAGGCTATGTGGTGTGTATATTGGGTGTTTACGGTGTGATGAGAACTATCTGGTGGTTGATTGATGCTGAGGTGGAACAGCAAGATAATGCTGGGTGTGCCGATGCAGTGACTGGTCATCGCAATCTCCATCAGGTCATCTGGTGAGAATATCTGTGGTTGGGGGCAGCTATATTGAGGTACGTTGCTCTTAACCTTGTCTACCCTCTTCGACACTTCTTACCGTGAGGTTGTGTGTCCCATCTTGAGAGTCCTCTCATGTGAGGTGTCGAGTGTGCTCAATCTTGAGAGTCGGCATACTTCCTGTGGAGCATCGGGAAGGAGAGGGCGTTGCTTTTTGAAGGGCCCTGGACGAAGCACTSGGTCACGGTCACCATGCCAACCCACCGGGAGTAGAGCATGCATGCTTTGCTGCTTTGTCCTTGTCTGCTTGCTGCGCTCATAGATGGGTATTGTTGGGCAGGCCATCCCTACGGGAAAGACGAGAACCCGGCGTCTATAAATAAACACGGTAGGGGATATCACTGGCTGTGATCGTCGTCCTGCTGCGACGTAAAATAATTCCTGATGTCATTTGGGGGCGGACGTTAAAATGCCTCTTGATCAGCCAGTGATGTAAGGCTCGCGGCACGCCGAGGGTAAATATACGTGCAAGGCTGGCCATCTCAACAACTACTCGGGCCACAGGGGTGGGCCGTGTGCACACCTTTAGTCACGCATGCTACCGGATTGCTCAGGAACGCTGATGTTACCAGTACGTCTGACACTGCTCCGGGAAACAGGTCAGGCCAGTAGGAATAGATGTTCCTACTAGGGTCGAGATGGTGGAGACACCCTCGCCATCTCGCGATATGGCCCAAGCTACTGACTCCCCAGTCGTCCCGCAAACACGTTCGGACCCATCGACCCTCTGTTCGATGAATGTGTTTGAATCCTTAGAAGAGCTAGAGGTGGAGTGGTCTAGATCAGACCCACTAGCTTCTTGGACGACACT